ACACCTTTAGTAATGGAAAACTTTAGGTGGACTATGGTAAGTATGATTTTTTTGGTCATAAACTCAGACTAAGTTAACTTACAAATGCCATGCTGAAACTTTTCCAGAAGCAGAAACCAAGAGGCTACTGTTCTGTCTGTAGCCTTTTTTTTATTGTTGGTTAAGATTACAGGGTAGCTTTTAGAGCATCAGACTTAATATTTCAAAATAATGTGACCTAATGTGTTGCTGCCTTGTACAAATTCTTACCAGTGTAGGCTTAAATAAAATCATTACAAGACGCTGCAATGCTGTGGCAGAAAACAAATGCTTAAACAGGGTTAGATTCCACATGCTGTATTGACAACTGCATTCATACACGCTCTTAAATGTGCTCTGAAATGAGAGAAATCAAGTGTTTGCAAGCTGGGAGGAGAAGGGCACTGTGAGCGTTGCTGAAAGAACATTTGTTTAAACACAGGTTAAGGATAAGCCTCCTCAGATGCTGTTTCTGCCGAATTCTCCTCTGTCATGGTGCCTCCTGCATTCCATTGCTTTTGTCTGGGCTTGGTATTTGGGAAATTTTGGTGAGGGCTGGAAGGTGGGGGGGGGGCATGCTGGAAGCTGGTCAGCAGTAAGGAGAGGAGCACTGGTGTGGGAATTGTGGAGTGGGGTCAGGGTTTAACTTCAGCGGCCATTCATCAGATGATGATTGATTGCTGTGCAGTCCCAGGGGACGTTTAACAACATCTCCGCCCATCCCCCTGCCCCCTTTGAAAGCAGATGGACCAAAAAATGGGGAGAGCGACACCCAGGAATTCCTGCTGTTGTAAAATGTTTTTACGGTGCACTGTACAGCCTTTCCTGAAGCAATCACATTTATGGCCTTGCTGTTGTATTTCTTGGGCTGCTGTGGCTGTAAAAGATGAATAGCCCTGTAATATGGTTCACTGATTCTGTTTAAATTGAAGTAGGCTCCCTTTATTGTTTTGTGTCTAAAATTGTATGCCACCAATTCAGGAAATATTTCCTGTTTGGGAAATAATCAACCCATAGCTGATTTATTTTAAAATAAATCACTTTTAACTATCTCTAAAACTATACCCCTCTTGCTTCCGACTTCTCCATTTAATTTTGGTGGAAATTCTAAAATACTAATTAATGTAGTGAAGTGTGGTGTGGTTTTTTTTTTTTTAATCTACTAAACTTGCTTATGAATCTTTTCCCTTGCTAGGTAGTTATGAAAAGGGATATTGGAAGGGCACCAGTTTTTATCTTACAGCAATTGCTTTTAAGTAAAAAATACAATTGTTTTAGTTTTACTTAATTACTTAATTATTACTACAGAAACAACTAATTAAATGCAATTTACACAATTTTGAATTTCTTTGAAAGAAGAAATCTTGTCTCTGCTTTCTTTTAATTTCTCTTTCCTTGCTGCCTATCTTATCAGAACATTTGTGTGTTTTGGAAAAAACAGCATGTTTGAAGTTTTTAGCCTATAAAACAGTTTTTCATACAATTGAGAAAATAGTGGAATTAACAGGACAATAGTTAATTTACAGTTCGATGGATCTTTTGACTGTATCATCTCTGCCTCTTCAGATAAGGTGGAGAGAGGGAAGTTGTATGACTTTCCCAAGTATTGTGTTTTGTTTTGGTGTAGGGGGGTGTTTGTGGTGGTTGTTTGGGGTTTTTTTGTTTGGGTTTTTTTGCCAGCGAGAATGTGTGGTGTGTGTGTGTGTGGTTTTTTTGTTTGTTTTGGTTTGGTTTGTGTGTGTTTGTTTTTGTTTTTTTTTTTTTTTTGGTTTTTTTTTGTTTGTTTTTTTTTTTTTAGCTAAGTATCATAAGCTGATCTCCATTATGGAAGACATAGTATTACTGTTCTCTTCCTTCCCACTACCCCAGCCCATCCACATTTCAAGACCAGTCTTGTTATTTGTCATTTAATGAGCATAGAAGGAACTATGTGTTATATATTGGGTGGCCTTTTCACATTGATGAAGTTGGAAGAAGGGAAGGCTCAGCCAGCCTTTTAGGTACTCTACAAGTCCATCAAATGTGAATTGAGAACACGCTCATTTATTGTCCTACTTATATTGTTGGTATGAATATGCTTGTTGGGGGGAGGGAGGGGAAGGAGATTTGTCTTAATTTCTCCCCCCCCTTCTATTTAGAAACAGGCACAGAAACTTAATCTAGTAGTATGTGACCTTTGTGGCCGTGACCTAGGGACTGGGATGTGAGCAGGCTTGAGCTTAACAATAAATGCCGGGCTGAGGCTGCAGGCACAGGCAGGCTGGACGCGGTGCCCCAAGCGCCGAGAGCCCGGCTGGCACAACCCCCCCTCGCTGTCGCACCCTGCACAGGTACCCCCCAGTTTAAATCCTCTGGGAACGTGGTCCCACTGCTGGGTAGAGCTGATGTACAGCCAGCTGGGCGCTCCTGACCGCGAGTATGTGGGGTTGGCCACAGGAGGAGAATTGCTGCTCCTGTACCTCTGCCAAGTTTGGGGCTTCTGTTGCAGTCTGTGTCCAGAAAGGAATTTCTGGGGGGTCCCCAATTCATCTTGAAGCTGGCTGACTCTTCCTCCTCTGGTGGTTAGCTCCCTTCCCCATGAAGAGCAGTAGGGATTATGGGTTTGTGCTTTCTCCTGTGTGTATTTAAGGTAACTGTTCTAAATAAGTGTAGTGATGGAGATCAGTCCATTGTTGTCTTACTTGTTTTTGCCCAAGCCTGTTAACTCTTTTGCTCTCAGGTTTAAATCTAGCTTGTTTTCACCATATTGTTTACTAAGAAATAAATACGAGGCTTTATCAATGGCTCTGTAGTATTCACCCAAGACTTTCCCGTGCCATGTCCTATGGAATATGCATATTTTGATGAAATGAGATTACGGGTTTTGTCTCTCTTCATTCTGAATTCAGGAGCGATGGTTTTCACTACATTTTGCTGGGTGGCAAGAGGCAACTGGACAGCTTAAGCTTAGTTTCTGTTTGGTTTGCATAGCTGGATGACTTTGCCGCTGGATGCTGTTACCTTGCAGCTGGAGGGCCTGGGTGACAGGATTTGTGTGTGGTGGTTTACGGAGCCTTTTGCCTTCTGGTGTTGACTATTTTGAAGGACTAATAACATATTTTGCTTGCTTCTGGACTTCTGTTCATATGGTCACCATTTTCCTTTCAGCTGCTCTGCTTGATTGAGGCCCCCAAATCCCTGCTGTATGTTTTTAAAGTATATCGGATTCATATGACTTAACTTGATACCCTGTCTTGGTTTTCATTCTCTCTCTACTTCTCAGTTGTTCAAGTGGAGTCATTCAGCAACATGTAATAAACGTTCCCTGTAATTTCAACAGCAAAATTACAGAACTGCACGAGCAAGTGAACATTGTATACAGATCTACACAAGCGCAGTGTCAAAACAAGGAACCCTCTAGTTGAGGAAGATGATGCATTTAAATAACACATTTCAGAGCCAGCACAGCTTTTTACTTACAAAAGACAGAGGATCTGCTTGACGGTTTAGTATTTGAACACAAGCAAAACAACAGTCTGTTCCAATTTCCCTGCAGCAAAACTTAACTTTCAATTAAAAAAAAAAAAAGTTTTTGTAAAATCTGACATGTGTGCACAAACACACACATACCCCTTTGAGAAATTAATCCATATACCACTTCAGCTGTTGCACTTACAGGAGTTTAAAATGTCACTTTATGCAGCACAGGCAATCTGAGGGAATCACCTGTCCTGTCCTCCCCCTCCCTTTCGAGGGAGAAGGGAAAGGGGGATGTTATGCACTGTATCACGAACTGTTAGCTGGGATCGGGAGTGGCTGGATGACAGCTGGGAGAAGACAGGCATATCAAACACTTGTCCAATCTTTGTTCTGCTCTTGCTCCTTTCTGCAAGGTAGATTCCAAATAGCTGGTGATTTAAAAAATTGTAGTATGAAACCCTGTTTGTCATTGTCAAGTGGGGTTTTGACTCTTTTGTGGTAATCTAGATCTTTTTTATTCTTCCCCCCCCCCCCCCCCCCCCCCCCCCAAATAAATAGTGTATGTAGTTCAGTCCCGTGTGGCAGTTTTGTACTCCTTCACTTGCATCTTTGAAAACAAACAGCTGATTTCTGCTTGCCCCTAAGAAAGCACCCTTCCATGGAAGGCACTATTTGTGTGCTGCTCCCCTCTGCTGGGTGGAATGGGAACAGTTGTGGCTGATGAATGGATCCAGCTTTGCAGGCTAACATCTTGTGTAAGGTTTCATTGTGTTTTGAATATAGGGTTTTTAAGTGCTTTGTGAATAGAATGGAGTTTCAGTGGTTACCCACAGTTCGCTGTAGCATTCATATGCTCGGATGGGCATGCTAATGTTCCAGTCCTGTTCTCCAGCTCAGACATCCCTAAGTATCACTGGCATAGGAAAACTTAGGTCATGTGAAACAAAGGTTTTTTGCTTTGCTGTTGGGAGTGGCAGGAGGGAGTCTTGCCAAATATTGCCACTACCCTGAACACAAGGGATTTGCATATTTTCGAACAACAGAAAAAGGATGGTTCTCAGCATGCATACTTTGTTTTCCCCTTCTGGGAGGTGGGTGTGTGGTGGTGCTGCAGTTCTCTGGTGCAGTGGTTAAATGACCCACTTAAGAGAATGTGGTGTTTGTGTATGCAGGAAAAGTCTTCACCTGAAACTTGCTGTAGATGGCATCTTCAATCTGCAAGTGTTGGCAGACGGCTTCCGCTCTTAAGAGGAGCTGATGTGGACACTCTTCCTAGTATTGTATTGCAAAGAAAACAATGACACTTCCATCTAACTGCTAGAGTATGATTTGGAGCTTACTGGGAGGGATAGTTCTTCCTCTGTGAAGAAACTATTGTGAAGTCTTTGCTTATTGCTGCTGCCTCTGACCATCTCCTTTATAGTTGAGCTGTTGGATTTTTTTCATTCTGGCACTGTTTTCTCTTTAATTCTTCATTAGATAGTGATACAGATTTTTTTTTTTTTTTTTTTTTCCCCTTCTAGGTACTGCATTTCTACTGTGATACCTGTTCTGTCCCCATATGTCGGGAATGTACCATGGGTCGACATGTGGGTCACAGCTTTATCTACCTCCAAGATGCCCTACAGGATTCCAGAACTCTCACCATTCAGCTCCTGGCAGATGCTCAGCAAGGACGACAGGCTATTCAAGTAAGATACTCCCAACTTGAGCACTTTATTTTCCCCTCCTTCTTCTCCCCACAGCTTGTCTGTTACAGGGCAAGGTGTCAAGGCACAAAGCTCTCTGCTTCTGCTGTCAGTCTTCTCACCCCTTCTGTTCTCTCAGATCTGACAGAAGTGGCTGTGGAGCTGAAAACAAAGTGCTGTTATATGAATTTTGCATTCTTGTAGCATAATCCTGTCATGTAAATTGCAATATATATGAAGCCCTGTACAAACGCACTTCAGTGTGAAGCATTTTGAAGAAAGTTCTGATCTTGTATAGCAGTGCCAAGCCTGGTTTTGTTCTTGCAACTGAGGCTTATTTTCAGCTGTCTTTCATGCCAGTACAGTATCTAGCACTGTAACTACCTATGACTCTGCCTGTGTCTTCAGTGTTGCCACCAAATACAAAATACTAATCAGCTGTTGGATCAGTGTGAAACTTCTAACCTGCCTGTGCAGAGAATCTGGAGCTATCTCCATACAAGGATTACTCTGCACGCACAGATGCATACTATAACTGCTAATTGCATCCTACCTCAGCTGTGTTTTACGATGCAAATAGTTTTGCCTGTGTAAAGAGACTTCAGATGGGGAAAGCACAGTGGAAGCTACTCTATACACTACTACCTTGTAGTTTTGCTAGCCTCAAATACCCTAGATTTAAGTTGGCTGTTCTGAAACCCAATGCTTCTATGTGATTTAATAATTATTTTTTTTTTTTTTGGCGTAAACATTGATAGAATGCTATGTATAGGTAATAAACTTACTTTCAGAATTGGGTGTGCTTTCCTGGCACGTGCATGGTACAAACAATAATAATTAAACAAACCAACCCATTGTCCACTCATAATTGCTTGTTTCTAGTAGATGAGGATTTGAGTGGGCCTCTTAAATTTTCTTAATAAATAAAATCTGTTAAATCTCTTCTTCCATTGCTGTTGACAGTGACCACTCTTTCGGTCTCTCCCAGATCATGGTCCTGCAGTGCTACGGAATTCCTGTGTATTCTGGGCAGGTTCCTAGATGTAGGGCTTGTGTGTCTTGGGGACTGGCTGTTTTGAAGTTGGATCCCTTTCTGCGATGTGGCAATTTTTCTGCCTCACTGGGTAGTGAGAATAAGCCATAACTTTTAGCATGTCACATCGTTGTAACTTTAAGCTTGTTCATTGGGACAGGAGCAGCTAAGTTTGTTCTATTTTTTTTTTCTTCCCTCAAATCTTAACACCAGTGGAATGAAATAGGTATTACAATGGTATAGATATTAAACTGTTGTTGTCTCCCTTTAGCTTGTGATGTTAACTTGTTACAACAGAACAGCAAACACCAAATTTTTGGAGCTGGATGGCTAATTTAAAACTCCATGTTAAGACAGAATCCTGCAAACCTTAGCTGCTTCCCAGATTTGTTTTAAAGTGGACCATAAGGCTCTTCAGCAGTATCCAAACTGAAACATTTCACATCTCCCCAGAATGAGCAAGGAAAGGATTATACTCGTTTAAAGAACCTCACCGGTAGAGTTCTGAATTTCTGCAGGCTGTCCTAGACAAGGGCTTGTCGGTTAGTAATTAAATTACTGCTTTTGACCTCCAGGGCTCTTAATCATCTAACTGGTGTGGATAAATCATCTAAGAAGGGACTGTGTCTTCGAGTAGAAACCAGCAGAATATCATTGAGTACCACTTTGCTACTTTTGTGTGAATGCTTTTGTGCCTGCTTGCTTCCCTACTGGGTTTTCTTTGCTCATTCCCCCCCCATTTTCTGCTGGCTTTTAGCTTGGAGACTCCTGCCATTGTGGTGAGCCTCCTACTTGTTGATGGCACAGGTAAAGGGTGGATGGTCCTGGCAGTGCTCATGTAACTCGAACAAGAAGCTGAACTGGAACTTAATTTGTGCGGTTTTGCCCTGATCTAGCTACAGCCCATCCAGGTTAAGAGGCTATCTTGGAAGTGTTAACTGGGCAGCTTCTGTAATGATGCTGTAAAATAAACTGTTCTTTTCAAGAACTGGTTTTTTTTTATTAGTTAAGCGAGCCCTTTAACCTGGACCGCTGTAAAGAAAAAGGATAGTGAGTGAGCAGATCAGTGATGAAGTTGGAGGTGGTAATCTGTGTGTGTATATGCAGGAATGGGAAGACTGTGCAACTCAAGACAGCTACTACCTAAGCAACATGAGCAACAACTAGAAGAGCATATGGTATAGTTAAAAGCAGAGGTGCCTTACTCAAAGGTTGAACCTGCTGTTTAAGTTGTCATGGAGCAGAGCTTTCCTTGCTTTTGGAATGATAGGGCTGTGAAGCTATATATTTATCCTAGGGAGGAGACAGCATGTCAGCATGAATTTAAAACAAACTCTAAAGTAACTAGACTCTAAATGAAAAACAATTGGCTTGAGTGCATTTCGTAAAGTTTAGAAAAGGTCAACAGAGAATTAAATGCCAGTACAAGCTGCAATATGAGGAACATTGACTGGAGCTCTCAGAGGCTTGAAAAGTAAGAAAAACAAAAAAGAAAAGCCTCACTTCTTAGTGTGACTGATTCATACTGCTGTACTAGTAACTCTTTCTTAATAGTCTCTGAAAGCGATAGCTCTCTGATGTGAGATGTTAAGGATGAACGAGGAGGGGTAGTTGAGAGTAAAGGGGAAAAGGTGGAATTTGAGGGGCATTGCAGGAGGGAGGAAATCAAGCCATGAGTCAACTGGCTGGAGAGTATCTGGTTAACCAAAGTTGAAGGCTTTTAGGAAGAAATGTTTATTTAAACTCTTCCTGTGGCTTTTGGAGGAAAGATTGTTTTTCAGTCTTTTTTTTTTTTAAATGCTGAGATTTGGGATACACTTCAGCCTCTTGATCCACTGAAACCTGATGTAGCCTGTCACTCCTGAAAAGTCCAAAAGTCACTTTTCAAAGCAGTTGAAGTCCTCTGTAAGAAATAGCCTGGCAGCAAGAGGCTTGCTTTTTTCCTCAGTGAGGTTCTGCAGCAATGGAAAGCTTCCCCTGCTGTGCTGGTTCTGGCCTGGATCATGCATTTCTGAGCCTGTTCCTTAACAAGAACTTGCGCTTGTGTGCCTGCATGGTGAGCTGAACCAGCTGAAAGGGTAACCTTTCTGTGGGATTACTTTTTGGCTGGATCAGCCCCTCGGCTGGTTCACTGCAGTGCTGCAGAGACTGTTGATGGTGCCAGGGAATGGAGCAGAAACACCCAACTCTGTTGCTGATAGGACCTCTTTCTTGTCTCAGCAGAAAGCTATCCTCCTTGCCGGGATACTTTTCTAGGCTTTACAGAGACTTGAACTGATTCACTGGATGATATGAACACCAAAGTTGACGCTGGATTAATGGTGTGGGTGAAAGCAGGGCTGTTGCTCCTCTATATGGGGAGCTTGTCCTGCTGCCTTGTTTTACCTCACGAAAGTGCACACTTATCTCTCTGCTTTCAGAATTTTTTCCAAGGACTGGGCCACAAACTGAACGTAAATCTGTTATGATGAAAGATATATGGCTGCTTCAAAATGTCATGTTCTTAAAATACATCTATACATGTGTAATTGTATATATGTATGTGTGTGTGTAATCTAATAGAGTTGTGTAACAGTAAAGCGTTAAGTGATCATTCCCATTTAGGGTCAATTTCCAGGTGATCGTGCTAAAAGACAGTTTGATCTGTTCAGGTCAGTTGTCTTAAAAGCGGTATTAATGGAAAACAAATTCTTTCCTAGTTGAGCCTATAGTTGTTTTTGCTGGGATGTTTGACAGTACAGGCTTTCACGTTAGAATTAATGCAGTGAGATTGGTCACGTGCAGAACATAGAGGGAGCCACTCTCTTGTCTAACAGCATGAAAAGTTTAAAGAGAAAAGTTTAAGAGTTGATGGTAGAGCAGGTCAGCCATTAAGGCAATGCCACCTCTTTCCCATATTGTGGGAGAGGTGGTATGAAGTAGATTGACAGCTTTATTCTAGGGAAGGAGGGGGGAGGGAGGTACTGAAGAAACTTGGCCAGCCAGAGGAGGAAGCTGATCTGTTGCCTTGAGCCTCTGCCCTTCAGTGGAAGCTTCCCTGTGGGTTGCCATATGGATCTGTGCTGCCGGGAGGTCGATACCGGAGGAGGATGGCACCACTGTGCTGCGAGGGATCGCTCTGGGGTTGTCACGCCGAGTTAGCTCAGGCACCCTTGTGTGTGGCTTTGAAGTCAGGCTTGCAGGTTTGAGAATCTGAAATGAAGCTTTGTAAACAAAATGGAGTCAATTGTGCTTTTCTAAATCTAGGATTTATATCAGCAGAAGCTGAATTTCTTTGTACTTCTAGTTACTGTTTTGTACTGTATTTTAGCGAGTGCCTTAGTGTAACATATGAGCAGATGGTTATCCGGGGAGATGGATTTGATATGCGTCACTGTCCAAACTACTGTTCTGCCTAAAACTAGGCAAAAAGTCTGTTCTTGCAGTACAAACAAAAGTGCATGTTGGTTTCTGACATGAGTTAACCTGGCCTCTAGCCCTCTCTGCATCAAAGCTTCTTTAAAAATTCTCTAAGTGAGAGTTCATCAGTATTTTACACTTTTAGACTGAAACCTTTAAATTGGTTTGTGATATAGCTGTACCAATCTTCCTGCAAAGCCACTGCTAAGCCTGTTAATCCTAGTATCTTTTTTTGCAACTATACTTTGTATAGGAACTTCCAATTAAATTTTCTACGTTAAAAACATCAGGAAGTTTATATCTGGTTCTTGATGCTGGAAAAAGCTGGCTCTTATGTCCTGGTTGGTTTATCCTGCTCTGAAACAGTGATAAGTAATTTCAAAAGTTTGCCAAAACAAGCCTTCTGCATCTTTTGTTACCCTAAAGAACTGAAAACAAACTGTTTGTAGATGGAAGACCTTCCGTTTGGTGAAGGAGGGCTAATTTGAGATACACAGAAAGGTTTCCTTAAGGTTTTTGTATTTAATGTGCTTTTAAAAGCTAGAGGGGGATTTGTCAGAGAATATGAATC